TAAAGATTTTTTTGTAACATTATCCATTTGCTTACACTTTTGATTAACGCATAATTCAATTCATCCTATTAACATTGGTCAGTAGTGATATGGTCCCAATATGTAACACTTCACCTTTAAATATGTTAAATGTTTTTTTTTCTTCTATAATGCACAATGTATTCTGCCCTTAATTGGCCTTCTTTAAATACAAGAAGACAAATCCATTGGCTTCAACTAATATTTAAAATTATCCACTTCAATTACCCTTCTTATTTAAAACGGTATTTTGTTCTTAATACTTCAAATTATCATTTGAGGCACTCCGTTCAGCTTTTTTTTTTTGTCCCTCGAGCCAAGAAGACAGTTGGTAAAAGAGCTTTTATGTTTAAAGCCACCTTAGACTGGAATAATTTACCTTCCAATATTAGATCCATCACTTCATTTGGGATTTTTAAGCATAATTTGTCTTCTTATTTTATGACTAACTGCTCTTGTTTTGTATGATGCTGACACAGAATGCTTACATACTACTGTATATACAATGTATTTCTGCCAATTTGATCTTGTGGTTGTAAAGTTTTGCATATCTCGTTTTTTTTTTTTTTTTTTTTTTTTTGGTTCTGTATGTACTTGTTTGTCAAATAAGTGTAATTGTTGTTGTTCTTGTTTGTTTATTTTGATTCGTGTTCTTTTGTGATGGCTGTGATTTACTTTAGGACCCCCTCGAAAACGAGATGTTGCATCTCAAGGGGTTTATCCTAATCAAATAAATTACATATAATGCACAAATGAAGGTGAATGTTTTCTATAAAAAGAGGTAAAATGCAGTCAGTTATTATTAAGCATCAAGTGTGAACATTTACTTTAATATCCAGTGTCTTGCAGTTTCCTCTGATTAAATCAAAACTGTAACTTACTCTCTGAGTATGTGTGTGGTTTTCCTCACTAGCAATCATGCTGAGCACATACAACAGCTCTTTATGCTCCTCTGAGACTTACAGAAAGAGAGCGAAAGGCCCGAGAGAGAGACTAAGTCTTCCACTGCCCACAGTGTTGGTCAGTGTGTCTGAATTCCCCACAGAGGCTCATATCTCACACAGTATGACCTCACACCATCCTACACACATACACACTTAAACAAGTGAGCTAAGGCTAAAGAATGGGACACAGTAAGTAAAGGGGACAAAACATTCTACCCACAGCGTTGAACATCCCACAATGCAGTACTGTTTGTCCATTTCCTCCCCCGTTCTTTCTCATTTAATAGGGCTTTTGCTGTGGCTGGCAGACAGAAATACACAATACCATTTGTTTCTCAAAGAAAAACGGATTAAAATTTACCATGGTGTCACAGCACACAGTAATTCATCTGAGTGTGTTCCTCTGGTATGACTGCACTGCCACCTACTGGATGAATGAACCAGTACAGGGGATAGGTGCATTCTTGACTGGACTTTGCTTATTTGGAATTTTTTGTTTTTTTGCCCAACACCATATTGGCACTCATTTCTGGGTATAGATGTTTTAGGGCAAGTCATTTGAGCCATAAATGTTGTGTTACTAATCAAAGTTCTTCAAGATAACAAGAACACACAATGCCACTTCTATGAGTGTTATAAATAAGTAAATAAATAGGCTATTGCCCAAACATCTATCAATTTATAATGAAATACAACTATACAAGGAAAACACTCAGCAATCATTTTCCAATTACACCCTTAACAAGGAACAAATATTGTCACTGGGCTGTGCTTCCATTCATTATCTACTTACTCCCTCTTTTCCATATTTTTAGGAAATATATGGTATCTATTTTCACTGCTATGATACCCAGCTCTACCTGTTTTCCAAACTCTCTGACTCTTTTCTTTCACCTTCTTTGTCTAGCTGTTTAGCTTAAATTAAAGATTGGCTTTCAGATAACTTTTTGAAACACAATAGTGATTAAACCAAGGTCCTCCTTGTAGGCACAAGATATACTACTAAATCTGATTGTTTCTCTGTGGATATTGATCATAATGAAATTTGTCCTTCCCTGCAGGTTGAGAGTCTGAGTGTCATTCTTAATAGTACACTTTTCTTTACGCCCACTACATACTTTCACCTGCATCAGATTAATCATCTCTGCCCTTCCCTCAGAATGAACAACACTGCAATCCTTATCCATACACTGGTTGCACACTTCTTAATGGTCTTCCTTCCAAACTTCTCTATAAACTTCAGTTGATTCAGAACTCTGCAGCTCATGTTCTTTCTAGAACTCCTTCTACTGAGCAGTGCACATTTCACCAATTTTCCAGCTACTACACAGCTTCTCACAATTAAGGCACTTTACAATCTCGCTTCTCCGTACCTTACTGATATTTCTACCCCTTTAGTTGGTGGTGGGACTCAAGACGTTTTCCCTAATGAACTTCGCGTACCTCTGATTTACAGATATATTTCTCAACTTCTGAACGGATTTCTGCATACCTTGGACACATCAAACTGAATGTCTAATTGTCACCTTAATCTTGACAAGACTATCCTCCTCTTCCTTCCTCCCTCAACAAAATTTCTCTTTACCTCAGTCAAAGGTCAAGCAGTCAATGCCTCCAGGTGTGTTTAAAAATGACCAGCTCTCATTTTTAAGTGACATTATGACTGACAGATCTTCCTTTATCCTTCAAAACAAACCATAGGGGGAAACCCTACCATGACAACTAAAATACAACAATCCAGATTCCAGGCCCTAGTTTTTCATTTCAAGAGTTAAGTAACTCCTCCCTTTACAACTATCAACATCAGAAAGAGACATTTTAACTTCATAGAAAGCACTGTGGGAGAGAGACACTTCTAGTAATATCATATGTGTTCAGCATTTAAATCCTGTATAGTCTGGCTCGAAGGATACATTATCTGGATGTTTCAATATCAACATGAGCCTCTGAACACAGATATGTTCTGATTTCAATCATTTGCAAGAAACCCAAAATATTAACTTCACTTTTCTTTTTACTTTCCATTAGTGGCCAAAGGGCCTAGATCTAGATCATGTTATCACTATACTATTAAAGACAAGATTGTTAAAATCAGCTCCGACCCTTTAAAATAAAAGACTCTCTCAAAGAAAACCAGTCAACCCCCATTTAGATGTCACTTTATGCTAATCAAATCTAGTACTCCCAGCTGTTTATAGATGCAATCCTTTTAAAATAAATAGCAAGACTGTAAACTGTGTGTGTTACTGGCATGGTAGATTTATTTGCAATGAAATGTTGTGGGCAATATCAGCCGTTAGAGTGTAGTGTACAATATATTGTATTAAAACCATATAATTCTGTATGTTTTCCAATACTGTTAAACCATTTATGATAATTCATATAACGTTAGGCCCTATAGGGAATTATATTTTCTTTTTATTAGGGGACCCCAGACAGTTAAATATTGTGTAACATCATGATTTTTTAAATCACTAATTAGGCTAATCCAGGAGATTGCATGAATGAAATGAGTGATATTGTAAGTTGTTTTTTTTTTTAATCATGATGTTACACAATATTTACCTGTCTGTCCCCTTACGAAAATATAATATGAATTTTTTTTTAACAGAATAAGCCACTAGATTTCACTCATAGCCTGTAGGCCTAATCAGACATAATTTCAATTTATTTATTTTTTCGATATTAACGTTGAATGCGAGCAGTTATCAAGTGTCATGCCATTTAAATGAATGGATCTTTTCATAGCTCACTGAAAACTATTAACAAAACTGAAAACATCTGATATTCTTACTTTTGTCATATTGTTGTATTGGTCGATGTAATTGGTCGTATTTGTCGTCTGTGTCTGACGTGATTTAACTTCTCCCCAGTTGTTCCATAAAAACACGGAACACGGATAAATTAGGTTGTTTCTTCTTTGCGTTGACATAAACATCATAAAAAGGTAAGCAACAAGACGGACCGCTTTTAGTCGGGGCTATTAAGCGCTTTCACCGGAAAAACGTTTATCCGACTTCCGGTCTCGGTCGTCATCTTCGGATTCTGATTGGAAATAGTTAACCACCCGGCTATCTTTGAAACACTCATTTCTATATTCTACGATTTGGGACGTATTAATTCGATTTTCGAATACTATTTAGGACGGATAGTATGCGAATTGGGACGCAGCACGTGAGTTTTTCGGGGTCCGTTGGGCTCGGGCTGGGCTCGGGTTGGGTAGCAGACCCTCTTTGGTATGAATGCGCTGCCACCTACTGATGAGTAAATAAGAAAAAAAAAATCATATTGTGGGTAATATAAACCATGAATAAAGATTCAAAACGAATTAATTAAGTTAATTTCTACAATGAATCAACATTTTTGTTTTAATATTTCTAAAATAGAGGCTCTGGATGACAGAATCTCTCTTACTCAATCACACTTTATATTTAACCTTTTAGTGCATGAATAATGATAACTCAGGATGTTTTCCCCCTATGTGTTTTTATAGCACTTAGGGCATGAAAAACGATTTGATTTAAAAAAAAAAAATTAAAGAGATTTTCAAATGTCCACCTTTATGGTTTAAATTGAAGAGAGACTGTATTAAACGTAATACAGTAAAAACACAGCATGTGTGTTTTTAACAAACCAATCAATAAAATTAAATAAAATCATTTGAAAATGATAAAATATATAAAGATATTACAAAGGCAATTGAATTTCATACATGTTGAACTTCACGTATCTTTGATATCAGAACATGAGGACGTAATTCCATCAGAGATCTCTAGAGCCTGTCAAGGTACAACTGTGGAAACCAAACTAAAATGCTCTCTCCAGTGTATGTCAATTTACCCAATACCCTTATTAGCGGATGATTCGGTTAATGTTCCAGATGGACACATTTCTAACATAGCTTTCCTCTGACAAAACAGCAATCATCTGAAATGAGCAATGTTGGGTGTAACGCATTACAAGTATGCATAACAATGAATGGTATACGATGATGCACCAGGGTCCACTCTAGAGGTGCAACATTAATTGTAGACAAAATAATATCTAAAGCAGGGTACCATTTTTATTATATAATTTGTTTAAACTTTACTACATGCCAAACCTTTTTTATTTATCATACCATATTACAATTCTGAACAGAATATTCCAAAAAAGAGAAAACAATAATAATAATAATTAACAGAAGAAACAAATAACATCATTAAATAGCACATGAAATTCAGCAACATTTTCCATCCACACGTCTTAAACTGCAGTGTCATCAGCAAAAACTCCAGAAAAAGAAACACTGATTTCAATAACAACCAGTTACGGGTGTGTCTTTATGTGAAAATCTTGGGAGTGTTTAGAGGAGTAGTGCTAGCCTCAGACAGATGACAGGGAGCTTGAACTTCACAGCATGGAGATGCTGCCACAGCTGCCCTATGAGAAACACAGTTGTCTTCGCACAACTCTGAAATTGAAAAATAAAGGGATGAAAAGACTGAGTGTTTGTGTATCCAAGTTAGTGAAAAGGGAGACAAGAATTTCTCAGTGTCTGGTGGTGTGTGTTGGTGAGAGAGTGATATAAAGCAGCTGCAGGGTCAAAGAACCTCTCTGTGTCATAAACCATGAGGAGAGGCACATACGGATGACCTCACAGTTTGTCACGCCAGCAACAAGGTCACTAAGAACAATCATACTTGCACACAAACAGAAAGTTAAAGCCAACACACAAACTAAACCCAAGTTCGCAGAAAATTTACAAAACATCACATGCCCTCTTCCACACACACACACACACACACACACAACCATAAGTGCAAAAACGCAACAGTGCTGATGTGACTCACAGTTTATAGTTTGACATCTCTTCAAAAGTTCTTGCGGACGTCCTATGAAATAAAGGTCTGGGCAGCTCGGATGCTGAATTTCAAGTTTAACAGCAATGACAAGACCAGCAGTTGTTCAGTAAACATCTTTCAAAAATCCAGTTAGGTTTTATTCCAAACAGCTTTTTTTTTTGTTAAGTTTTGTTCATTCCCCCAAACAGGAAATGTACAACCAACACAGTCAGGAAGACATTGTGAAGGCTCTTCACCTTTACAGAACACTGTGAACTTGGTGCTGTTGATAGTGGCACATCCTATCCAGAGGATATATGGAGTTCAGTGCTGTAATATTTCATAAAAGGAGGTAAACGCACTTCATCACATTTTGACACTTCAATGTCAGTGTAAACCTCCAGCACGGTTCACTGTTGTGTGTTAGGAGGAAGCGGGGGGTCTTTATCATCATACTGTGGGGGTGGAGTGAGAGGTTCGATGGTGAACACGTTGTTCTGCTGGATGTCGCTTAAGCTTTTCCTTCTGAGGTTGTCCGATCTGATGCGCCTAATTTTAAGGGGAATCAGCTTGCGACTGGGACGACTGTTTCTGCGGCTGCCCGCTCCAGTGCTGGGGTCGATTTGGGATGAGGGTCTGCGTGCTGGGCTGGACCCATCCAGTACGGTGTGCTGATCTTCCTCTAGCTCCTCATAGGCTGGCAGCTGTGTGACGCTGTTGTGTCGCTCAGAGGACTGAGTAATGGGATACTGGCCACTCATAACCACCTCCTCATAAGTGGGCACCATGTAGTTCTGATCCGTCCTAGATACAAAAATAAACGCACATTTAAAACCATACAAGGCAAATTTAGGTTATACACTACCATTTAGACCAAAATGTAATTCTTTATGTTTGCGAATGCATTAAATTGATCAATTAAAGCGTCAATAAAGACATTGTTACAAAAAAAAAAAAAAGCTGATTTTTTTACATTTTTTTTTTATCATGGATCCACAAAAATATTAAGTAGCACAACTGTTTTCAACGCTGATAATAAGAAATGTTACTTGGGCAGAAAATCTGCTTATTATAATGATTTTTTTCATTGAATGAAGATCATGTGACTGAAGACTGGAGTAATGACTGTTGAAATTTTTTCTCTATCACAGGAAGAATTATTTAGAGTAAATACGGTAATATTGTGAATATTGTTACAATTTAAAATGTTTTTTTTTTTTAAATCAATGCAAGGTGAGCACATCTTGACCCCAAACTTAAACAGAAATGTAATAAATAAGAATGTTCTTAAACCTTGATAATTTTCAATGAAAATGTCAACTACACTAAAAAAAGTCATGTGGTATAAAAGTATTTTTTCCTACCTTAATCTTAACATTTGTAAAAAAAAAATATATATTTGTCCATTTGTCTTATTTTCTTTATTTGTATTAATTCATAAATAATATATTTTTTTGAGAATCACCACAAGACATTTTACAACCTGAACCAACCATGCCAAATTTTATGATATTGGATCAACTCCATTTTCTAGCACTCTTCCTGTTCGATTTTAGGGAAAAAATCTATTGGAGACACCCAATAGATTACTTGGGCGTGCCGAAAGAACACAGTACAATCAACATGGGAAAATCTTACAGTAAAACATGCAGTTGTGAAATATATATAATACTCTGGTGTTTTGCCAGATCTTTTAACCCTTTTAAATATTTTTATAATCGTTTTAATTTTCCTTGCTTTTAATTTTTGATTGTTTTAAGTATTTTCTGTGTAAAGCACTTTGAATTAGCATAGTGTATGAAATGTGCTGCCTTGCTTATTGATCCTGCATGTTGAATAAACCACATGATATTGATTTGGCAGAAAAAAAGTTAGTCAAATATACAGCCATCATTTTGAAATTGCTCCGGTGGGAAGAAAACCGGAAGTGTCGCTTTTAAATCATAGGAGAGTCGCGAATGCGATGGCGTATTGTTGTGTTTAATGTAAAAATTTGTTATTCTAAAAATGTACATACATTTCTTTCCTAGTTTAGACAATATATACAGAGAAATTTATAAATACATTTTTTAAATATATATTCAGAACATAAAAAAGAAGCAGGAACAAACTATATACATATCCTATATTGGATATTAACATCTAATAGTTTAAATCGCGGCAGCTGTACTTCCGGGATTCTTCCCACCGGAGCCTCGCTTTCGATTTCAAAATGGCAGCTGCGTGAAATCAGCGTATTAATAAGCAGTGAAACAATTTTTTTTAAATATTTTTTCTAAGACATAATAATATAAAACTATGCAAAAGTACTTTATAATTTAAAAAAATATAAATAATAATGTAAAGACTTATTTCTTCATTATGATCAGGGGGTTGCATCAACCTGATATTTATGACTTCACACTTCCCCAAAAAATAAATAAACATTTATTTTAATTGAGAAACTAAAAAAACAAAACATAGAAGTATATCCAAGTCACTATAAATTAAATGTATTATGAGAATTAAAACGTCACGTCATTGGCGCAAATGGCATCACATAAAGTGAATGAATGTGATTTCACCTGGGTGTGTATTTAACAATATGTACTCACATAGCCCCTTCCCCCTGTGTGTCAGCGGGTGTACTGCCGGCTTCCTGTCCCCTGGCCGCCCGGTGTTTGTTCCGTACGCTCAGACACACAGACAGCAGCAGCAGCGCCACTCCTCCCCCCACTAGGACGAAAGCCACGGACGAGGTCTCCTTAACTTGACTGGATTCCATGCCTGGTCTGGAGCTGTTCCCACCGGACCCTGCCGGCACCACGCTCCACACAATCATGACGATCCCCAGAGCGACGAGGCCCACTCCCAGTGCAGCGGTAGCATACTGTGCCCCAGAGTTATTCCCGCTGGTCCTGTTGGGACTGGGTGGAGTCTGGTCGCTGTAGGACATGCTTCCAAACCTTACCATGGACTTCCTCCGGACACGTTGTCTTTCGTCCTGTACCTTTCAAAATGTCTGAAAACTCCACCTATCTCATTTTCCACTGTTTTCTGGAGCACTGACCCGCTCTGTGAACAGAAAATCAAACAAGGATGAATCATCGGACATCAAAATGTGATGGAATAATCAGTCCATCATAAAAGAGTCTTAAATCAGTAAACGTCAAAGATCCAGGCCAAGCCCCTCCATAAATCCTGTGTGAAAATAGCATAGCAGTCACCCGGCCTGTGCTTAAGCAGTGATAAAGTTTTTATCAAAGCACATTTATTGTCTGCACACACATCGGTAGACATGTTAGGTTTGTCTAACTTCCTTCCATGAGATTAAGTAGGTGTCTCGCCTGACAAGCTTTAGTTACAGGTGCAAGAAAATGGAAGAAAGAGTTCGATTCAAGAGTGAAGTGTGTGTCTGTGTGAGAGAGAGAGAGTTCATGAACACAGACTTTGGTGAAATTTCATCTCTGCTCTGAAGGTTTTTACAAAATTCTCTTTACTGACAATGTGTTATTGTTTCATAGTTATAAACTCACACTAAAGAAAGCACATCATAACTCTGCTGTGTCACGCCTACACAGTTTCTGGAATTGTATTGGTTATCTGTAGAGGCAGGTTCTTACCACCTAATTAATCTCTTTCTCTGCAATGAAGCACCAATAATTATTGGTCTTAGATAAGTGTAAATCAAACATGTAGAGCCAGGTGGTTTATGATGGAATCTATTTCCTTCAGCAGTGACTCATACATTATGCTGTGTATGGAAAAATGTGGGTTGCTCATGTGCTCCGTGTTTGTACTCTTGCAGTGTGATGGCAGACATAATTTCATCCCAGCACATCGACTTGTTGAATGTGAATTCCTTGACGCATAAGACCGAAAACTGAGTTTACTAAGCACGCCTAAGCATGCAGACAGATAAAATTCTGATAGTGAATACACTGGAGAATGGCAAGAATTTCCTTCTCTCACAAAAGCCACTTTGGCCAGATTAGACACACACAAAAATAGGCTACTGCAACATAAATTCACACACACACAGAGGGGTACCATAAGGTTACAGTTGAGGGAGCTTGTTGAGGAGGCAACAATGGGTTACCAGGGGTACAGAAACTTAAGCAACACCCCCATGTGTACGTTTATCTCAGTATCTTAGATGGCAAGCTATCACATTTCATCATTCAGAGAAAGCAAAATAAGGCGCTGTTAAGACAGAACATGTTTTACATTTACATAGATCTACGCAAGACAGTGGAATTGAAAAAAGTTGAGGTAAACTTTTGAAGTTGAATTTCAACTTGAGCGTTCGCGTTTTTAAGAATGACATGATGCAAAAGACACGAAACACGTCTGTAAAGCGATTTTTTACATAGAAAAACATACATTTCAACACAGTGTGTTCTAAAAAAAAACACAAATTTAAGTTTGAAATTAGTTGAAATAAAAGAAAAGGCTCGGTCTCTAGATCATGCCGCATTTTTTAAGAGCAAAAACATGTGACGTGTGAATGGCAAGGCTGTCAGTGCGTACAGCTCATGCCAAACATCTCTGTATTTACCGGTATGTAGGCTACTCAAGAAAAAATAACGTTAATAGGATTGTGTAAATAAATACTATAATATATATATATATATATATATATATATATATATATATATATATTAAGTAAAACATTTAAACAAAACCACTAAATAAAGAACAGTTAAATATATTTTACACAAACGACATAAATGCAACTTTACACAAACAGATCCCCCATAACGTAAACAATTCTTTTCAAAATAATCACACTGCAGGGCGAAATAACCCCCTCTCAGACAAAGATAAAAAAAACAAACAAACAAACAAACAAATCACGTTGCGCTTAATAGCCTATGCTAAAAGGAAAACCTAACGCGCTATGTAAAACAATATAAAGAGTAACAAACGTTCCAGGAAAACGAGCCAAATTTCAAGTTTACTTTAAGAGTCTTACCGAGAAAACTTCCCTTCCTTGTGTTTACCCAGTCCGTTTCAATCCTGGATGAAACCACGTTTAATCCAATGATAGGCTACACACGTATACCGGAGCATTTATTCCTTAAGAAACTGAACTTGAATTCCTTAAAGCAGTAGCTATGGCCTTAAAGTTTCACAGATATGAACATCTTCCTGTCCCAGCGGTCCAGAATTAACCCTTTAACAGACCCATTCAGCTTCTGCCCCGCCCATGTTTTCGGAGGGGTAAAACGTTCTCCATCCCCCGTCCATATGCCACATTTTGAGACTTTTAGTGAAACAGATATTGATGCAAGATGCAGAGTAAATAAAAATAAAAACTTCATAGGCTACAGAGTACAAAATGAACCCTTTAACAGACCCATTCAGGCTCCTGCACCGCCCATGTGATCGGAGCGGTCAAAAATTCTCCATCCCCTGGCAGTATGGTCCATTATACTATGAAACACATTTTTAGACTTTTAGTGAGACAGATATTGATGCATGATTCCAGAGTGAATAAAAATAAAAACATCATATGCTAGAGTCCAAAATAACCCTTTAACAGACCCATTCAGGCTCCTGCCCCGCCCATGTGTTCTGAAGGGTAAAAAGTTCCCCATCCCCTGGCAGTGTGATCCATAAAACTACAGAACCACATTTTTAGACTTTAAGTATATAAAACTAAAAACATTATATAGCTAAAGAGAAAATGTAAACTTTATTTTAAATAAACTCATGAACTATGAACCGAGTTTGTAACAGATCAAGCAGTCAATTAAGTCTTAATCTCATTTTCATTCATCTATTAATATTTTCACCCTAAAATAGGAAGACTGTCAATCTGTTGGCATTCTGAGTTTATTTATGATTCTCAGAAAATACCGAATCTCTTCCAGGTTTTAAGATACAAGCATCACACTAATCGGCAGTCAGGGTGGTGCACGTCAAATCACCGGCAGCACCCACATAAATGTGTCAAAACAGGGTTCACTCAAACATAAATCCCTAGAGCGGAACAAACGCTCAACAATATTTAACTACTTTATGGGCAGTTGTGATTCTGGGCAATGTTAATGATGTAGAGCAAAGGTTGACCATATAGGCAAGGTGCTTCCTCATAACTGTCTGTTTTAGTTAAGGGACGTCATGTAACTTTTATAGTATACAGAACAAGGAGTGCTATAGGTGTAAAGTATTTTTTTCTCAGTAAATAAAGTACATTATTAATCCTGTGTGGGGAAGTTGTTGGAATTACTAGAAAAATGTGAAACAAATACACAAGAAGCAAATGAAAAAAAAAAATAGCTGACTGTTTCTTGTCTTAATGTTCTAGAATAAAATAAGGAAGAAGTACCATAAAGAAGAATACCGAATAAAATTTAAGATCATTTTTTAAATGGAGAACTTGTAATCTATAATAAAAATGCACCTTACACTGCTTCAAAAACTTTCAAAGGTCATATCTCTGATCTTTGCACATTTGGTGTGACGATTAGAATAACCTCTGCTACAACTTACCGATGTGCATGACCTTAGTTAGTATACTAACTGTGGTATATGTGCATGAGGTTGGTGATTTACAGTTAGGACACAAAAGGTTTGAACCGTTTGGGTTTTAAATGGGCTTCCAAGAGAAATTTCGGATTTTAACAAATTGTGCACTGTGATTGGGAAAGAATGAGTAAGTAGTAACCTGTAATTATGAATCTGCTAATGATCTGAACCCCAGTGGATTTGAACTTTATTCAATTCAAATTTTCCTCTATTCGAATAATAATGAACTAATTAACATGACATTTCACATTCTAATCTTCAGTATTCTGTGGTTTTAAATCTAACACCAACAGCTAAAATTCAATGTAAAACATATTCCTTAAAATGGAAATAAATTCCAATTTCCACATAAACGTCAGCTATATCATAAAACATCTAAACGTACAGATAAATGTTATGTGCTCTTTTTTTAATGGATGCTTAACTCTGTCTCACTTTGAGACAAATGAGTCCACACTCACAACAACATAAGGTCTACAAAACAATGCCAAGGCCCATACTGGCATCCTGAGGGTCCAGAGTCAGAAAATGTGAACTTTCTTTGAGATTTCTTCAGTGTTGACCTTGAAAAAGAAAAGAAAATCCCTCCATTTGAGAGCCTTAAGTGTCATGTTTTTCAACAGTAGTCTAGACAGGAGAAAGACTCAGACATTAGTGAGCTCTGCAGCAGAAAAATGTCGAACTGGGCAACGCTCTTCCTTAAGCGAGGCCTCTTGAAGTCCATTCCTTGGAAATGAGCCAGACCTGTTCTGTTGACTGATCTTCCGTCCAGCGAAATCCTTTGGGCTGAGACCGAGCTGCTGCTGCAGAAAGAAATGGATCCATCAGATTTCTGATTCACTGGTTCTACAAATATTTGACTTTTAAGAATTATCCAAGCAATAATATAAATCTTCACTCTCTGAGGGTGCATTGTTACTGAGAACTACACTCAAAGGAAACTAAAGAGCACAGACCTTGAGAAGAGAACACACAGTGGTTGTGCAAAGATTTATACAAAGGATAGAGTGTTAACAAATGGCTACATTTAAAGGGTCAGTTCACCCAAAAAAAGTTTGCCTAAATGTATCTCATAAATTATCTCACCCTCAAGCCATCCTAGGTGTATATGACTCCCATTATAAAGCTTGGAAGAGCCAGGATGTTTGTTTTTTTTTTAAATATAACTCCGATTGTGTTCGGAAAGAAGAAAATCATACACCAAGAATGGCTTGAGGGTGAGTAAATTATGGGATCATTGTCATTTTTGAGTGAACAAACCCTTTAAGGGTTTCATTTTCTATACGTTCCAAACCTGTATTAGTTATTTTCTTCAGCGGAACATTAAAGAATATATTCTGTAGAACGTTGGGAACCAAACAACATTGGAGCCCATTGACTTCCAAGGTATGGACCAAAAACACTTCCACACGCCCTCGCCCTCACATCACTTGGATGTGTCTGTGGTTAAACGATATAAAAGAGGTAAAAACGATATAAATACTGTTCGTTTTCTCACACAAACCGCTCGTTTCGTGTCTTAGGCCATCAATGTGTACTTACATTTACGAGTCATTAAATCATGTTTAATTTGGACTTCTCTGTGCATGCTCTTTGAGGTGGTGACCATAGACTTCCATTATATGGCTGATAGACAACAACGGTTTGACCTAAAAATATCAAAATTGAAAATACTGTGGAAATAAACTAAAGACACCTACATCTTGGATGCCCTTGAGGTAAGCTAAAACATATCAAAAATTAATTTCAAAGTGAACTGTCACTTTAATTGTAATTAATTTAATGTCACAAAAAATAGGATTTAAGGCTCATTCACATCAATAGCAGAGTTCCCACCACAACTATAATGATAACAGCACAATATTGAAACATTATTGTTGGAATCAGTTTCAGAACTAAGAGCGGATGAACAATACAAACATTGACAACCAATCAGAATATATGTATCCTGCTTAAAAGGGCTCAAACATTTAAAGCGACAGACGACAAAAACTGCAGAGCGCACTAAGAATAAACAGAAGAATAAACAGAACGCTGGTGTGGATGCTAATATAGTTATCCTTACACTTATAATTCTTAGAGTGAAAGTTCCTTTATTTTCTTTTAACATTGTTTATTTCTATTTTTGATGTTGCCATTCATACATATTCTTGACTGGTTTCAAAAGATTCCTCCCTAAAGGTGGCATTAGTATGAGATTCAATAATTTCTGATTCAGGTTTAGTTTTCTACCTTCACCCTCCTTAAAGACTGCTGATCGTCATGAAAACTGGGTGAAGAGCTGCTTAGAGAACTTTGTCGGTGGAGTGTGGGCGGAGTCCCCAAAGGTTCAACTTCCTGATCAAGCCCTGCCCTGCAGATACAGACATCTGTTGAGAAATCTGCACCACTCAACTGTCTCATCAGCTCTTGATTTTACAATATATAAAGAGACATTTATTATGATTGTGTAGTTCTCTTAGATAGTACTACATTACCTGGCTGCACTGACAAGTGCCTTCATCTCTTCATTGAGGTGATGACGGACCATGTGCTTGTTGCTTGGAATACATAACGCTGTTGCCATGGTGTCAGAGCTGAACGAGGGATCCAAAACCATGACAGCACCATGAACCCCACTGTTCTGAAGACTGTCAGCAAACTCCTAAATACAAAATACAAAGATACATTTTTCTTTTGAGTCTTGAGATATACCAACACCTACACCTTTCTCTGTTAGCATTGCTGTTCTCTCTCTTTGGTACCTTCAGATCAATCTCTTTAATCCATTTCATGATGCGATGACAAGTCCACACTACAGGGTCTGTGTTCTGATTCTCACACTCGAATCGTCTGGACTGCAAAATCTGCAGCAAAACAGTATTTGGTCATTTGTTGTGTAGCTTCATTAACTTACTATGGAGAATTGTATATGTTCAAACTCGTTGTTTTTCCAAACTGGGCTTTTCTGATGTAGGTTCATGATTGATTGTCATGAGGTTTGGTGCCTGTGGGACTTGCCAGGATTACAGCTTCTGGTTTATGTCTGTGTGTTTACCTCTTTGTCAAAGTTGAGCATGTGGAGCAGCTGTATTCCCAGTAGCAGGCTGTTCTGGTGGGCTTTTTTAGAAACGTGCATATGCTTCTCTAGGTCAGTGCGTGTGAGTGTACTCAGGAGACGTCCATCCACAAGGTGAGTGTGGAAGAACTGGGAATATTGAGAGAGACCCACATCCGTCAGCCAGGCCTGAGCCACCCAGTGATGATCCAGATCAGCTGCTTTAGAAAGGCTGAAACACATGGCCACCATAAAGAAAAAGGAAAATAGTTTAAAAATCTAGAAATAAATGCTTTTAGAAAAATATATCACTTACAAGAAAAAGTTGTCATTTAATCGCTCTAAACAAAATAATATTTGAAAAGCCATTTTGTTTTTGGTGATAAATAAACATTATGCCACAAATGTTGTAGTCTAAACTGAACTTGTATTGATCTTGAAACTTTATTGAATATATTTTTATAGGATAAAAGTGCATGTACATATTTTTAACATGGTGTTACTATAAATAGCATCATAGTTTTGCATTTATGTCTCACCCATGTCCTGATTCTGCTTCCCTGTAGTCTTCAATTGCCAGACGGAGTTTTCGGCGGTGCATTGAATTACTGATACCCAAAACAAATTCAAGGTCCTCATCTGTAAGAACTAACAAGACCTAAACAAAATACACCAAAATTATTGTGGGATTCTTATATTCAGCGCAAAATAGCCTAGGTATTCAGAGCGGATATCATTGATCATGATAATTATAGACTCATGTAGAGACGTGTAAGTGTTTATGTATA